ATAGGGTCTCAGAGTGGTATCAAAACGACAATTCTGCTAACTAGACTTCGACAAGCGGTCGCACTCGCTCCATCAACCAGCCATCCAACCATTCAGATTAGCCTTATAGCAGCAAAAAGAAGACATTAATTTAAAACACTTTATTTTTGTTGACTTACCAAGTAACTTGAACATAAAAAGAAATATTTGGAAAAGCGAAAAAGCAAAACAATGGCAGCCTTCCTTCCATTTTCGCTGAAAGATTCTTAAGATCCCGTCTTAATTCGAACAATGAACGATGTCGGTTTATTTTCGTTCGAAACGTCGTGGATCGATCCAGAAAATATTTATCCAGACAGTGCCGGCCGGGCGATGCTGCCCCGTTTTATATTCCACTCGAAGGCGTAGTAGAGCAGCCAGCAGCTACTCGATGGGCTTTAGAATTTGATTAGACCTGAAGAGGGGCGAGAAGATGCCGACTCGAAACTGGCACATAATTCGCATTATAATTTTTGTTTTATATTCAAATTAAATCGCGTGTTTACGGCGCCAGGGAAAGCGCTTGTAATGGGCTTTTCTTCTCGGCTTTCCGCAAAGCTTTCCATTGATGTCTTATACATTGAGTAAGGAAACGCCAGATATTTGCATTGGTTGTAGTGACTAAAATAACCGCTTTTCCAGTATTGTAATGAACTTAATTTATACAGGGTGTAAATAGATACAAAGGTTATCGAAAAATGCAAAAATTTCTACTAATTATAAAATAAAAAGTATAAAAGAAAGAAATAAGAAATAGATTTGAACTAAGAAGGCTAGGATAAATCTGTGTTTAGCATATTTAGTTTCATAATAAGTAGAACAATGAGGTGAAAACGGCATCTTTGTATCTCTACTCATAAACCAGAAACCCCATAAAACACACAAAAATGGGACACCCAATACATCTAGCAATCGCCAGTCGATATAAAAATAGATTCACACACAATAGTCTTAAAAATGAAAGGAAAAGACAATATTGTCTTCATATTTGTGAAGAAATACATGTCCATATTAATGTAATCATAGCGACAGAAATAAAAAATAGAAATAGTGTGCATGATGCCTTTACAAAAATATCTGAAGAAATGGGGATTGACATCAACGTTTAATTAGTATGTCATATTTCATAGTTTCGATATAAATGACATAATAAACTTTACTCTATTGTTGACTCGCCTTGTACATTCATACTTATATACCTTGTACATGATACTGAAATATTCGGATTTATTAAAAAAATTATATTATTAAAATTCAATTTTTATTTTTGACATGACAAAGAAGTGGAAAAAGGGTAGGATTTTTTTTAGTTCTCTAAAATTATTAACAAACGTTTAATAAATCCCAAAAAAATGTTTTTTTTTATTTTGCATGCAATACAAGGAAATTATTAGAGTTCAGTTGAACGTAGGGGCAGGGGGTGTGTTAGTGGAGGGAGGGACAAACAATAATTAAAATTAAAAAAACTGTTTTATACTTAATATTACAGTTGAGAGTTGAAACCTTTGGTGTTCCACAGCAAAAGAAAACACTAAATCACCACAATACACCAAAACACTTTTACTTTTACACTGGACGCGCGTTTCGCTAACCATGTTAGCATCATCAGCAGATGATTATAAACTCAATATCTATATAATAAGTTTATAATCATCTGCTGATGATGCTAACATGGTTAGCGAAACGCGCGTCCAGTGTAAAAGTAAAAGTGTTTTGGTGTATTGTGGTGATTTAGTGTTTTATTTTGTTATACTTAATATTTAATATAATTTTTTTTGGTTTTGTTTTTGTACACAATTTGTTGACAATAAAGCTGTCAGTTTTTACTTATTACCACAATTTTAAGGGATGCGTTAAAACTACCCCCCCCCCCAACAAAAAAGTGAATATAAGTTTTTTTTAGCAAATTATTCAAGCTTTAAAATGAGCTATTAAAACATAAAATCGGTTAAAAAATAACTAAATTTTCTGCTAAAAAATTTGTCCGCCATTTTGATGGCGTCATTAAAGGATGATCCGGACATGCCAGAGATTGTCTCCCGGCAATTTTTGAAGCCCTATTATGTGTAGAAGCTGTGTGCCAAATCTGGTGCTGAAATATTTTGGTGCTTTTTAAGGTCAACGCCACTGACTATTGCAGTTTTATAAAATAAAAATTATGCGCCTTTCCGATTTTTTAAAAATTTTAGAAGTTACTGGATATTATTTCCTAATAAACATGTAGCTGCTATACTAAACATATTTTGTGGTGTGTTGTTGCATAATCGACTAATTTTCCAGCATCGAATGGACGAAGGAACGAAGCGAAGGGACGAAGGAGCGAAGTGTGAGTATGGGGCTTTAAGAGCTTCTTAACTCACTGACGTAGATAAAACATTTTAAAATTCGTTATAACGAAAATATATAAAAAAAACATTATTTCTTACTTGAAATTGCTGTAGGTTGGAGTAATAGTAATAATAACTAATAGTAATAATATTTAATAATAAATTAGATAAAATATATAATTTATTAATTTTATTTTTATTTTAATTTTATTAATTGTGATTGTAGCGTTTATATAGTAACTTTTACTCTCAAAATTTCATGCGAATCACTAAAAGTACTTAATAAGAAATAAATAATAAGAAAATTATAATAAATAGAAAGATTATTAAGACTTAAACACCCTGTAGCTACGAAACAAAGCAGAATTGGACCTATGTTGGTATGAAAAATAAATCTTATTTTTACGTGAGGAATCTCCCCACGAGAGATGACACATGTTTTTGAAAGACCCTGTATATGATCATGGTTAATAACAATTTTTAATGAATAAGTGAAAACATAGCCTTATTCTTTTTAAATCTGGTTTGTATATCTTTGATACCTTTGTACACTTAAAGTTTGTCTATTTATATTATTTCTCCTATGTAACAAACATTCCCTGTTAGAAAGCCAAGTCGATATTGAAAAAAGGAGAATTTACGGGCTTTTTTAATTATAACTAGAGTACACTCCCTGACTGACCTAATAAATTATTGTAATTTCAGCCCTAGCGCGTTCGTTCCCTTTGAACCCGCCGACGAAAATGATTCATTTAAAAAAACGAATTAACGGTTGCGTGAAATTAATGGCAAACATAGATCCCATATTTGTCAGACCGTAAATTTTGTTAATGCCTCGTTTACAGGAAAGGGCGCAGCGTATTTTTCATTTTTATTACTTACGATTTATTTCTATTAATATACCTACACAAAAATAAACTTCGCATAACTTTAGGACAGATCATTTGTTTTATTGTATTCATAGATTCATTTTATATGTATTAAATTTTGTACACAGCGTGTATCAACCATATAAGTAATAAAAGTAAAGTTAGGTATTGTAATCGCAAAACATTTTCCGAAGCATATCATCAATCATATCGATATTGACATTAAAGTCTATAAACCTGACTAAATGAAATTTTGGAAAAAATGTTTAAAGTTGTTGTATAATTTAAGATACCGAGCAGCTCTTCGTTTTACTTTATAGAGCAAATGATTATAACAGATATTTTATTTAGATTAAAGCTGCAAAAATTAGTTTAAACCGAATTTTATTATCGCTATGTTGGTCACATTGCGCCGTGTTCAGCAATGTTGTCCTTTATTATTTGCCAATTATCCTAATGTCAGTCATTATTTTGTATGATATTGTATTGTTGTTGAATCTTTGTGAGCAGTTATCGTTTTTTTGCCTATTTTCGTAGTCTTTTTTTTTAAATCGCACTTTTAAACACAAACAGTTCTTTTAAGAACTAAATTTTCGAGTTTTTATATTGCATTTCTTGAAACTCTGCGTTGAAAATATGCCGAAGCATTCAAACAGTCGAAGCAAAGAGCTTGTAGCTTCCCTGATAAACTAATTTAGAGAGAACATAACAATAAAGCCCCTTTATTACTCTTGACTGCAGTCAGAGAAGTAAGTTTGATTGATAAGCACATTATACCACTTTCAAAGTTAATTCTGTAATTATTAGTTTATATCGTCACCCTCTTATTTGTTATTACCACTTATGGTGTTGTAAGATGTACATCAATAAATAAATAAATAAATAAATAAATAAATAACCCCATAATAACGCTTAGAATAATCTTCATAATGGACTAGTTTTTGCCAATATGTAATAAGTAAAATAATCTATAACATAAATAAATCAAGTAATTACTAAAATATTAGTTATTAAATAAAACGTAACACTCTTTAAAAAATGATATAATAAATACATTGTCAATTTTAAATTAAGATTCATCTCATAAATCAATCACAATCTGGCAGCGCCGTCGCCATCGCTTGTCACTCAAAGTTGATCAGTGTATCGGAAATTGTTTTGCGATTACCTCTTGTCTAGATGCCTAGAGAAGCTGAACAAATTAGGCAAAGAAAATAAACACTTCTTACTCGGGTGCCTGCCCACCAAGAGATAGAAGGTGTAATGAAACAGCAAACGATGTAGCTAGAAAAAGAGCGAACGCTCCACTAACTGGAATAGAAGCGTTCATCAAGTGGGAACCAACTTAAAGCAGAACTGAAAAACCTGGAAGACTCCATCCGTAGTCTGGAAGATTCCTGGAAGAAATTTCGCAGGAGTTACGACCGAGAAAAATCAAATATTTTCTTTGATTTAAGCTTCGGAAGAATCTTCGAATTGTTACGGAGTCTTTAACAGGACACTGTCTCCTCAATAAACATCTCAGTAGATTGAAGCTAAAAAATAACGACGAATGCAGATTCTGTGAAAAAAACATCAAAACTCCTCTTCACTGAGTGCGCCGAGACGACAACCATTCGTGCTATAAATTTTGGTACAACTGATATCGGAGATGGAAACTTACTTAATTTACATTGATAAAATAAAGCCAGTCAAATTAAAATTAATACAGTCCACAACTGTATTTCTGCACAATAGCTCTGTCTCTATCCGCCAGTGAACATAACTTATTGACATAAGCACCTACCTGACATCAGGATGCGCGTCCAGCATGGCCCTCATCAACGTTGTACCCGACCTGGGCACTCCCCCGATGAAGATGAGCGGCATCTCGCGTCCATACTCGTAAACCTTCTTATCAGGTCCGGTCACCGCCTTCAGTTCGGAGGCGACCATGCGCGCGCCGCTCTTCTCCGCATCCCCACTGCTGGCCAGGGCCTGGACCATGAAGTAGACCAGGGCCACGCAACAGAGGAGACCCAAGACTTTGCGGACTCCGCCTCTCAAGGGTCGAGGTAGTTGCATGATGGGGCCAGCGGTCACATCGTACGGGGTTCGGGTGGGGGAAATGTTGACGGGATGAAAATCATCTGAAACAATAGAAAAAATTAAGCTCTATTCACACTTGTCATAAATCGTTATTTTTAATTTTCGCTAGCATGTTTACAAACATTCGGCTCCGAACAAGGAGGCCATTCCAATCTTCGTAGTCCAGCCTCATCCAGGTACTCGTTAACTATTCGTACACGTAACTCGTTACCCCGCGTAACGTGGGGCCTGGCATTATCATGCATCAGTATAAACTGAATTTCATAAAAGGAACAAATGGAACGACAGCTTCTTGGATATCTTCAATATAACGGTTATCATTGGGAGCTCTATTTTCAACAAATTCAAGATTGTAAAAATATCAGTACTTTATTTAAATATTTTTTTTACACAGGGTGTTTTATTTGATTTATCCCGGTATAAATCCGCCTAACCGAAATATACAGGGTGGCGCACCTCATTCGCCTCGGTTGGTTATACGAAAACGGAAAGATGTAGAAACAAAATATTTTATGGGTACATGTGGGAAGGTAATGTGCATAATTTAAAATTATATAGAAATGTACAGGGTGTGTCAAAACTGAGATCCATACCAAAGTTATGTTTTTTCTTATGGAACACCCGGAATTTCATTTTTGGATTCCTGGACATAAAATAAGGCATTTATTATAAGGGTTTAATATGTTTAAAAGCTTTGGTTTTTGAGATATTTAAAGATATTTAATTATGCATGATATAATAAAAAAGTTTGTCAGCACCTCGTACATTACTTTTCCGAATTAATTCTTGTGCTGACTTTCAAGCCAGAGAAATAAACTTTAATAAAAAACTTGATTGCTTCCTTAAATGTATACAGGGGTATTAAAAATTGCTGGTCTATTTTAAATATTTATTTTACATAAAAACTTCGTTATTTCAAATACAACACCCTGTATTTTTTTAAATAAGCGCTATGGCAATTTTCTAGTGACACTGAGTAGCTATTTTCAAAATCGACATTAGTTTATGGACTTTATTTTAATTTATAACAGGTTATTTTTATTTAATTTATCTACAATAAGGTTAATAAGTAAGTTGTCAAGTATTTATTATCTTATCAAGAAAAATGAAGCAGTATCTGCCAAAGGAATGGATATGTTACTAAAGGTTTTATTTTGAGAGAACAATTGCTTGGGGGGCGGGGGGGTTAGCCTGAAGAGTTTATGCTCAAAGATGTCCAAATATGAATTTTCTTGACAAGCGTTCCTTTGAAAAACAACTTTTCCTATTTCGCAGAGCTGATAGTGTGGTATATGAAAAACCTATTAGGCAGCAACCTGTCGTTGGAAGTGAAGAAAATGAATTTGCCTTAATTGGTTCTTTTATAGAAAATCCAATATTTCTACAAGTCATCATAATATAAATCAAAAAGAACTACTTCTTTATTTTTCTTGATAAAATCATAAATACTTACTTATTAAACTATTGTAGGTAAATTAAATAAAAGTAAACTGTTATAAATTTAAATAAGGTCCATAAACTAATGTCGATTTTTAAAATTTCTACTAACTATCACTAGCAAATTGCCATGGCGACACCAGTCATCTTGATTGGCATTTTATTGAAAAATCGCTTTTTATTCAAAATCTGAGCTAGATAGGTATAGGAAACCCTAATACAGTTTGAAAGAGCATTTAAATCTACTTCGATTTCTTTTAAAAAACACAGGGTGTTGTATTTGAAATAACGAAGTTTTTAGTTAAAATAAATATTTAAAATAGACAAGCGATTTTTGATACCCCTGTATACATTTAAGGAAGCAATTTTTTTTAGTAAAGTTTATTTCCCTGGCTTCAAAGTCAGCACTAGAATTAACTCTGAAAAGTAATGTACAGGGTGTTGACAAACTTTTTTATTATAGCATGCATAATTAAATATCTGAAAAACCAAACCAAAACATTTAAACATATTAAACCCTTATAATAAATGCCTTATTTTATGCCGAAGAATCCAAAAATGAAATAAAATACTGGGTGTTTCATAAGAAAAAATATAACTTTGGTATATATCTTAGTTCTGACACATCCTGTACATTTGAAAATAATTTTAAATTATGCCCACATTGCCTTTCTACATATACCCATAAAAAATTATGTTTCTACATCTTTCCGTTTTCGTAAAATCAACCGAGACGAATGAGGTGCGCCACCCTGTATAAGCCATTAAATTAATAAAAAAATAATGCCAACAAATGTATCTACAAACTAATACCACAATCATAAAAATCGGATTACAAAGTCAAAAGTTATGGATCATCAAAATTTTAGGGTGGCGGGATTTTGTGCCGGGAGTTTAGTCTAACACAAGTGCTTTAAACATAATCCCGATTTTAGAGTTAAAATCGTGTTAAAAAAATTAAAACTGTTTTAAACCATAAAAACACCATGTTTTCTTTAAAAATAAAAAAAACATTTTATAAACTCCGGCTTAATGTAGTAAAAGTATACGAAAAGTACTCACCCTTTATATTTTTCGAAACATATTCTTTAAATTTCACCCCAACGTTTCAAACTGACCTGAAATTCAACTCTAAAACCCTTTTATAGAATATTATCCTATAGCGAGTCGTGAAATAGAATATTCGGAACGTGGAGTTGCGCGCTTATAAAATGCATTATTGCTCAGGCAGCGTCGGATACCGTCGAGAGAATACGTAAACACTGCACGCGGATGTTGTGTGGAGTGGTGGATCCCCCAAACCGATCCCCCAAGCGGTTCCTAGCGGAATTACAACGTTATCGGTGCGTTTTCGTTCCACACTTTGAACACGCGATGCGCTAGTTGAGCCGGCGAAAATTGGATCCTGGCACATTCAAATCCGATCTTTCATTGATAATTGGGCTAACTATGCTATAAAATACATTATAATACTTATTTTATTTGAAGCTATTGTAAATCTTCATTTATAACAAAATATACCCCATATCCAAATAGATTATGCATAATGTACGTTTTAATGGCCATTACTAGTCTTAAACTTATTTTAAATATTTGTTTTATCTGCTTGAACATGTTTAATGTGCTGTTTCTTCATTGGCAATTGAGGTAACTATGCTATAACTACAAAATAACACTACACAATAATACTTATTTTACCGAGCTGTTAGTTTTCTTTTATAACAAAATGTAATATCATATCCGAATATATTAGGCAGAATGTTTGGTTTTTAGATTTTTCATTGATAATTGATTTACTATAACCAAATTCATCTATAACTATATTATAATGCTTATTTTACTGAGTTTTTATTTATAACAAATTTAGTTCATGAAATAATTGATGATAGTATATTTCAGTGGCAGGCAGTAGCTCCAGCAGTACTGTCTCGACTGATGTGTGAAAGGTATTGGGTTCGATATCCAGCCAGTACGGTCGCTTTATTTAAGAGAGAAAAATAAAAAAATATTTAAGAGTTATTATCTTAGAAGTATACTGTGATATAAGAATTTTCTTTAATTCTAGGTGTCACACATAAGTAACTCCAAGTACAACCAGTTTGAGTAAGCTCTTGATGCTGTCCCACGACATGCTTGCCAATGTAAAGACTTCGCGAGCCTGCTTCGCTTATGCAGGATCTCTGACAACTCCGCCATGTTCTGAAGTTGTGACGTTCTAACATTGAACACTCGATGTCGTATGGTCAAGTGCTCACAATTATTCTGTGCTCTTGTATGGAATGGAATCCTGGACCCCAAAAGTGAATATAATGAGGAAGATCGAATCGAAATAGTATTGATTACTCAGCTGTTTAAACTTATTTTTTCAAATAAAAAAACGAAATTTGGTATGTTAGTATATGATATAAATTAAGATTGATTGGCGTATTCAATTGTTTTGGGTCACTTCCTGTTTCACCGGTAACTTTTGATTTGTAAATGGCGCCCTCGGTATATTTGTACATTATTCGATAGAAAATGACACTCTGAATAGAATGACATATCATATGTCATCTTTTGACATTTTCGCTTAAAACCAAATTGTATTTTAAATTTCAATCTAGAGTGCCATGTCTGTGTTACAAACACTAATTTTTAATCAAGGAGCCTTGAAAAATAGATTTTTCTAATGTTTCTAGTGTCTTGTTCTGGCCGGTTAAAAGATGCCCAAATCGTATTTTTAATTATATCTATCTCAATTTTTTCAAATGGAACAAGGGTGGCTCATTGGCATATTTGGAAAAAGCATTTTTTTACGAATAATTTGGCACCACACACTTGGTATTTCGAATCAAACGTTATGAATCACAAGTTGCAATTTCAAATAAACCATACTCAAAAACGTCAAAAGTTGACGTATGATATGTCATTCTATTCAGAGTGTAAAAATCAAAAGTTGTAGTGATTTCCGGTAAAACAGGAAGTTAACCAAAACAATCGAATACGTCAATCAATACTAATTTATGTCATATACTAACATACCAAATCTCAATTTTTTATCTGAAAAAATAAAAAAGTTATAGAGATGAGCCACTTTTCAGACGCACCCGGTATATGAAAATTGTATGTTATGTAGTTAGTGTTACATACACCTTGTGGTTCAAACCAAACAAAAAAAAATATGGTTTTATAATCACGCATTCACCGTTTCGACGTTATAATGCCCTAGAAACTTGTCATTATGTAAATATGCATAATATATTTGGATATGATCACCATTTTGTTGTAAATTAAAAATTGCTACTCGGCCAAATCCAGGAGATCAGAATAATCTAGTTGACAAAAGTGTCACTGTGACAAATGATTTTTGACAATATGCTTCATACATTTTAGGTTAATTATCTTTTGTGTTAATTTTTTATTGGTGCCCTCTAATGAGACAACCGAATCACTTTTATATAGAGATAAAGTGTATCCAATTAACTTATTTTTATTCAACACATTCGTAGTAGTCCTAGGACACACTGTACTTTATATATAGCCACGAGTTATGGCTTATTCGATGCTCGTATTCTGTCTATCCGAAAATCCCCGAAACTTCAGCGTCGGCTTCGTGGAAAGCCGG